ATTTAGATCTTTAATCCACTTTGATCTTAGTTTAGTGTGGAGTCTTTTTATTAAGGAAATATCTTACGGTCACCATCAAAGGCAGGAAGGCATTAGATGGAGAGTTAAATCATAGTAACCTCAGTTGGTTTCCTATGATTTTCATTTTAGGAGATGATAGTGTGTTAGACAGATACAGACAGCAAGAAAAAGCTAGATCAGAAAGGGAAGGCTGGATATTTAGAACTGGAGCCTTACAATGAGACAGAAAACCTGGAACTCAAGATGTACAATCCTTCTTTCTGTATTTGCAAGTTCAGGGCTGTGAAAGCTCTTTCTGTTAAATTCTATTTTCATATCTATTTCTTCCTAATCATACTTAATATGCTTTCATTTTTTTTTTTTAGTTTATAGAGTAAATTTATCTACTGAAGGAGACTTGACTATCTATAGTGAGTTCAAAGAATCTGTTAAAGCTAGAATCATAAAAACTGATTTGAAAGTACCCGTTTTGACAAAACATCATAGGGTTGGGGATGTAGCTCAGTAACACCATGTAGGCCTTGCAAGCACAAGGTCCTGAGTTTGATCCCTGGTACCAGAAAAAAACCCCAAAAAACTTGGCGGTAAAATCATGAAATGGTTACATTTTTCAACTACAGAAGTAGGCATCCTTAATATTTCCATTCAATTCTATAACAATCTGTCATTTAGAGTTAATAAAACATTTCACTTTGCTTGCTAACAATCCTCTCTGCCTCTTTGTATGGGTCCTTCCTCTAGCGCTGGTTTGGTGAGGGGGAGAGGGAAAAGATTTGCCTTCACAACCCTCACAGCAGGTTGGCCGCACTCTGGCTGGTTGCAGCCCTTGCTCCTGGACAGGACTGAGCCTGACAGTGGTGGTGAGAAAGCCATTCTCCTACACTGATGGATGCTTCCATGTGCACTACCAACGATGGCCTCCATCTCCATGGAGGGCTTTCAAGCGCTGACACTCTTGCTCAGGCGTTGACTCCTCACAGGGAGGGTGTATTGGCCTCCTGATGCCTCGGTCCTTGAGTAAGGGATGCCTGCCTTAGGTTTACTATCTTCACCTCCTACTTCCCATGGCAGATGGGCCACACTTGTGTCTGGGGTACCCCCATAAGTGACTAGCCTCTTCTTGGAGGCAGTACAGCAAATGGCTACTCCGTGACCTCTTCTCCTTTGTCTGAAGATCCTGTGCACCCTTGCAATGTGCATATGATGGGGATACAGGCTGTATGTCTGCCACTTTCTCCTTCTGAGCTGCCAATTCTCTCTGCTTCTCTAGACTCCAGCTACATCAGGTGCTTTGCTTATTAGGAGCTCAGCCACTTTTAGACAAGAGATGACTGACAGGACTTGTTTTAGTTACAAGAAGAGACACTTTGGATTCTCCTTTTTTGTTGGAAGGCTGAAGTAGGACCAACTCAAATAACTCCTTAGCCACAAAGGAGGATGAGGAGGAATGGTTGTTCCCCACAAACTCGGTAGTGCTTTTCCTGGCATCTCTACATGGCAAAGGCCCTTCTTTTACATGGCAGTATGATAAAAGTCACCAAATAAGTTTGGCCCCTGTTGCTTACTAAACTACATCATGTAACAATACTAACAATGGGCACAATAGGTCAATAAATACAGAAATTTGCTGACAAGACTATAAATTATAGTGTAGGAGCAGAAGTGTAGACTGGAAAGAAGACTATAGCTCTGAGTTTTCGCTGGGCTGTGGAGCCCAGGCAGTGTGTTTCACAGAGGGATGGGAGTTCCAACAAGTCTGTTAATGGAGGTGAGGTAGAAAGCTCTCACTGTAAACTATGAGGTTTGAGCCATAAAGCAACTTTATGACCCAGACTTGCCAGCTAACTGGTCACAGGTAAGACATGAAATCGGGTTTCCTGACTTCACTTATAGCTTCCTTCTGTTGTACTTTACCTATTAGGATTAATGAGGAAATCAGAAACCATTCTAAATATCTCAAACAAAGAATTTATTAGAGGGAGCTAGTTACATTGGCAAGGCAAAAGAGAAGTAATAGAACAAGTAGCAGTTGCAGGGAGCTGCTGCTACCCTTAGGGCTTGAGTGTGCTATCAGAGCCAGCATAGTGCAGACAGAAGCTGAGACCACAGACAATGGGGTTCTCCTATGGGAGCAGGAGGCTGAAAAGGCACAGCCATGACCAGAGCGCCAGCCCAGGGAGAGACAGAAGGGAGCATTTGGACGGTCCCTAATTCTTGTCTTCCATTCTTCCACCTGTGTCCTTATTCCCTTACTCAATTCTTGCTTTTTTCAAAATAGACAGGTAGTTATCCTGATAGTATTCCTTAGGGAAATACTATTGATTGGTTATGGACTAAAGCAAAACATGGCTTGTTTAATAACTAAACTCTAAAGGGTCACTTTCAAGAGTAAGGAAATACAAGCCCAGCAAATGGATATTAAATGATCGTAAAAATAGTAAGGATTGTTGAAATAGCAAATGAGGAAATGTAAGATGACCCCTATATCACTTACTCCTTTTTATCTTTACCACACTTCTTGCCGGGATTCCACCTTGTTTTTGCCCCATCACAGGAGAAGTGCAGGGGAGATGGGATTCAGGAAAAGGCAATGGGAATCTTCAGAGAAAAAAGTGGGGAGAGAATCCAGGTAGAGACAACATAGGCAGAAAAGCAAGGCTAGAAACTGCAACTGCAAGTTAAAGCATTGAAACAAGACTATGCATTTTAATGGGCATTCTCCTTATTTAAAGGAGAGGAGGGAGGAGGGCTCGGGAGGCTGACTGCGACAGAATATATCAAACAGATCCTCTCTCACATTGTACCTTCTCCCTTCGACTGACCTTGATTTCTTGCTACTGGAGCAGGTGCCACAGATGTTTAATCCTCTGAACTGGTGGTACATCCCAGATCCCATGTTATAATAAATATTTTACAAAGATTTTTTTTCTCTTATGACAAACTCATCGAGACTCAGGGGTATACATTTGGACAACAGACGGGAGCATACACAGCCACGGGAATCATCTCTCTTTCTATAGCAGAGAAAATGCTTATATGTTGGCCATAAACAGGAGCGCAAGCAGACAGCTGTATTGTGCATCAGTTATTTTTGTTTACTACTCAATACCTATGGGTGCTTGTCCTGCTGCTGCTCTGAACAACATCACCCTGATTTAATTTCATCTCGGTCTGTTCCTCATCCAAGCCTGCTCTCCAATTATGGTAACTGTTTGTTACCTCTCATCCCCATTTGGAACTTGAAATGGGTCACTGATTCTGTTTTTTTAATAAGGTCTGTGTTCTTTTTGTTTTCTGCTCTTCATTATGAAGCAATGTGTATCGAAGAACCTACAGACCAGGGTTGGAGTAGTTTGTACCAAAGACACCCAATGCCATGAAAGATTCAGGGTGTGGTGGGAGACTGGCAGGTGGGGAGAGGAGAGGCACAGAGGAAGAGTTGGCAGGACCTGTGTGTATCATCTTCTCATTTTAGAAGCCCATATGGTGCTTCATAATGCTCTGCTCAGTTGCCGTGTAGTTTTAGTCTACATCCTATTAAAAATAACCTCTATTAAGAAGATCATCCCAGTTAAATGATGAATCTCAAATAATCACAAGAGTTCTTTTTTTCAGGAGTGTGAGTTTAATATAGACAGCCTTGAGAGACAAATTGGGACATCTATTTTTTAACGAAAACAACAATGGAAAGAACTGTTTCCACTATTTAGTTTGTCAAGGACATAAAGATTATCTTTGATTAAAATAATGTGAAAGTTCAATTTTAATGTAAGAAAAATAAACCAAAATACAACACCCCTAACACAATCGTCGATAATTGAGGTATGTCTTTTTCTTTTTGTAGCTTGACATACAAAGGTATGAATCCTAATTTTAAATCTCAGAAATAAACTACGCAAAAGAAATCAGTTTGTGATGCAAAGAATCCTGCAATATGGTTTACCTGGTGAGATACAGCTGCAGTAACAAGTTGTAATGGTTCCAAGCAATGGTCAGTGATCTATTAGGATTTACTCTTATACATAATGCAGTATTGTGATAATGAGAATCAATTATATCAACTTGTAAGTTCTTTTTAATTCTCAGAGTAGTTCTGGGAAAACAGAAATAGACATAATAAAAGGGAAACAGGTTTATTTTCTATAAGTTTGTTGACATTTTCAGACCTGAGCTATTTGTACGAATATTTCACCTGCAGTTCAGCTACAAAGCATGATCTGGATGGTTTTCAAAATTCATATTGACTGTGTAGTGGGGCTGCTCTCCCCTCTGGTGGCTGTCCTTCCTACCACCCACTGCTTCCCGGATTTGTAACCTAAGGAAAACAGAGCAGATGTTTTGAACAGACTCACGGAGAACTCAGTCACAAACACAGACTCCAACAATCAAAGGAAAAAAAGAGCCATGGAAGCAATGTACGTCAGTGATGTCTTACAAACATCCTCACTCTCTGATTTTCTTTATCATTGCCCTGTGGATTCTGGCTGCGGGACCTGGAGACATGATTTCATCAACCTGATTTCACCAAAAAGATAAATACATGATTTTGGCAGAGCAGTCAAACCAAATGTGAACCCCGAGAAACATCCAAGTTATTATCTTGGCAATTAGCTTTTACACACCAGTTGGACATCAACTTCAAGAGCCAAAGATTTATCATCCATCAACGTAAACCCATAGAAATTTTAAAGATATGCCATGAAACCAAGAGATTTCTTTTCTCAAAATTTTAAAGATACGCTACAAAACCAAGAGATTTCTATTCTCAAAATAGGTACTATTTTTTCATTGCCTAATAGAGTAATAGCATATGCTATAAAGGATAAAATGAGATTCACAAGAATCTTAAATACAAAAAAATTCAAGCCATTTAAAATTTGTGATATAGCACATATGATATGTAATTTAATTCATTTATTCACTTTACAAAAGAGTTTAATTCATGCAGAACATTATATATTTTCATGCATTTCTAATGATTTTCTAACTCAAATTTATTTGCAAAATAGACTTGATAGTACTTCAAAATCTTTGGCATTTTCTCTAATGTTAAGAAGTAATCTGGCCTTAAAGCACGTATACAGATTCATCTGTTAAGACCAAATGAACTTATTTTTTGTCAAGTTGAGCACAATTTTTAAAAAATGTCACAGAATAAAGAACATATTTTGGAATATTTAAGGTTTTTTTAAAGTTAAACTTTATGTTTTCCTGAAATTACATAAGCTTACCTTTTAGAAAATTATAAACCAGTTTGACAAGGCAATACTTGATTTAAACATAATCTAATAAAGGCAATATACTTTATAATTACATAAAATTATTAAATTAGGTTAGAGAAGATATTTTCAGCCAGGTGTGGAGGGACACACCTGTAGTGTCAACTCTAGGAAGCTGAGGCAGGAGCATCACAAGTTGAGTTCAGATCCTGTCTCAAAAATAAAAAGGGCTGGGGATACAGTTCAGTAAAAAGGCCCTTGGTTCAGTTCCCAGGAGAGAACACAAAAGATATTTTGAGCTAATATTTTCAAATGTCTATCATAAAATACTAAATTGATCTTAATTTTGGTGTTTTGTACTTGGAAGGGTAATATCCATTGGAAGGGGAATTTTAACATCTAGGTTTTTTTTTTTTTTTTTTTTTTTGGTTTTTTGAGACAAGGTCTCATTATGTAGTTTAGACTGGCCTTGAACTCTGTGTAGCCCAGGCTGACTTCGAACTCACAGCAATTCTCATGCCTCAGCCTCCCAAGTGCTGGGATTACAGGCATGCACCACCACACCTGGCTCATTTAGGTATATCTTTAAGTCAGTCTTTTTACCCTTGAATCATAAAGTTTCATTGACAATAGTTAACTAGAGAATTAAACTTAATATTTCCTTTTCTAACATGTGCAGGTAATTGTTAGGAGATTTACATGTAAATACTAAAACACTTTCAAATTTTCTGTTCAAACTACTAATACTCCATTATCAGTTAAATTAGTTAAAATATGAACAAATATAGGGCTAATGGTCAGCCTTCAATGATTTTAAAAATAATTTACACGTGTGACCATTTTTCTTTTCTTTTTTTTTCCCCCATTAACTTTCTTGGTACATTTTAGGTATAAAATACAGTGACATTCATCATTGGGATCTTGTACCATTACATGAG